AAGCACGACCGGTGTCTGTGTCGGACCCGGGGCAGATTCTCGGGGCAGAGAGGAAGGGCACGGTTTGGCAGCCCTGCGGCGCAGCTTTTGCCTTCCAGTTTTCCCACGGGGGTCACGCTGTGTCCCTAGTGCCCCTGGCATGTTTTACAGCACATCTGTCGGAAGTAGGTCCGGCTGCAGAACTTGAACTTGAGGACGAGCGGGCAGTAGGCCACCTTGTTCACATCCTTGCACTCTGGATGGGCGACAGAGGGAAGCGGGGTTACAGCTGCTTCAGGGGTGAGGAGCCCCGGGAAGGGGGGACACTTCTAAGCAGCCTTCTGCAAGCTCCTTTTGCGCCCCGACGCCCGGCTCCCGCAGGCTGCTTGCCAGCAGGCAGCAAGATGCAGCCGTCCTGAAGAAGCTACCGAAACCCTCGCTACCAAAAGCCTCTCTTTGCCAAGGTGCAGTTACTTCATTTATCAGGGTCCCGGGCAGGCCAGTTTGGCCTGGGACTGGGGGGGACAGCATCAGGTCTCCCCACAAGAGCCTTACCCCACAGCACAGCCCCTAGAGCCCAAATCCTTTGTGACAGGACAAGGGGTGATGGCTTTAAACTAAACCAGGGTAGGTTTAGATTGGATCTAAGGAAGAAATTCTTTACAATGAGGGTGGTGAAACCCTGGCAGGGGTTGCCCAGAGAGGGGGTGGAGGCCCCATCCCTGGGAACATTCCAGGCCAGGTTGGCCGGGGCTGTGAGCAACCTGATGTGGTTCAAGGTGTCCCTGCTCCTGCAGGGGGGTTGGGCTGGGTGACCTCTAGGGGTGCCTTCCAACCCAAAACATTCCATGATTCTATGATTCTATGAAATTGGGCTCTGCTGGCTCCTGTGTCCCTGAACCGTGCGGCCCCTGAGGCTGGCCATGCTCCACATCTCCCTCCCTGGTCCCCCCATCCCCCTCACCTTCGGGGTTGTCTGTAGGTCCCGATTCACACTTGGTCTCGCACTGCTGCATGCTGGGTGGCTGCAGGTTCTCCACGCAGTCGCTGGACGGTTGCCCGGTGTGAGCCAGGCACTGGACGGATCTTCTTTGCTGGCCAAGGCCACACTGCGCAGAGCACTGCAGGGCAACAGCACAGAGCTGAGGTGGGGGCCAGGGCTTTAATAACGCGTCGGGTGAGGGCATGGCCAGGTCTCAGGAGGTGCAAAAGGTGCTGGATGCAGTCGCCCCTTCCCTCACCAGAAACTGCAGGGACCTCACTGGCACAGCTGGGCGCTGCGGCCCTGCTTCCTAAAAAGCTTGGTTCGAACCTTCAGGACTCAGCGAGGGCCTCTCCATCCAGCCCTAAACCACCGGCCTTTCCCAGCCCTCCTGCACCCCGATGTCACCCTGCAGCTAAAGGGGTGTTAGAGGGAAGGGAGAACTGCTGGCATCGCCCCACTGCTGGCACCGGGCTGTGGCCACCGGACCAGTGATGGCCCCGCTTGCAACTGGCCCAGCCCACCCCTGCAGCCCATCGCTGCCGCTGCTCTGCACGGCTCCCTGACCTCACTGCCCTGCTGCCCCCCGATACCTGTGGGGCCCTCCAATGACTTCTGTGGGGCCCTGCAAAGAGAAGACCTCCTGAGCCAAGGTGGGGCAAAAAACACTGCCACGGAGTCCTGCTGCCCCCCAGATAGCTGTGGTGGCCACACGGGGTTCTGCTGGCATGTAAAAGCCTCATGTGCACAAGGATTTGAGGGGCTGGGGAGGCAGAGTCTTCTTTAATAACCCCATGGAAAGGATTGTCCCTACCTCTCCCCACTCGCCAGTCACCCAGCGTGGTGGTGGGCAGCGCCGGAGGTTGCACCTCATGCTGGTTGGGGGCTTGGAGCCTTCGTAGCACTGGGAGGTGGGGAGTGTTGCACTGTGGTCACCACTCTTGCAGAGGACGATGCGGTGGCGGAAACCTGGCCCGCAGCTTGGGGTACACTGCAAAGAGAGGACGCAGGCGGTCAGGATGTACAGCAAAGAGCAGAGAGAGGAGAGCACCAGTGCTCCCACCTTGTCTCCTGAGCTGCGAGGCCATTTCCCACATTATGCTCTCCATGGCCAGCAGCCATCAGCAATGCTCTGACCTAGTGATTTCATGACTGACAAGGTCCTCCGAAGGACCAGAGCCATCAGAGAGGTGAGGGCTGACGTTCAGCACTTACCTCAGACCAGTCCAGGGCGACCCACTCTGGAGGGCACGTCTGATTATTGCAAGGCTCGAGCATCTTTGGGCGTGGGTGGGTGCAAGAAGCGTCATCCAAGGTCTTCTCCTCGCTGGCAGAGATCTTACGCTTGCAGAAGACGCTGCGTGTGCGGACGCCTTCGTTGCAACTTCGGCTGCATTCAGACCAGTTCCCAATCACCCAGCTGGAGACAGGTAAAACAGCAAAGCTTGCGAGAGGCACAGCGGTCCGTGCTTCTCCCCATACTCCCGTACACAGCCTTGTTCTACTCTGGCCACAGCCTCCCAGGCAGCTCTGAACCACAGAGTTCCTCCACATCTCCCTTTTCCCTTTAAGACAAGGCCCAGCCAGGGAGGGGCTGGGATGATTTCATAGAATCACAGAGTTGTTTAGGTTGGAGAACACCTTTAAGATCATCAAGCCCAACCGTTCCCCTACCCCTGCCATCCCACCCCCAAACCCTGGCCCTCAGCACCACCTCTGCCCGGCTGTTAAATCCCCCCAGGGGTGGGGACTCGACCCCTTCCCTGGGCAGCCCTTTCCAGTGCTTGACAACCCTTTAGGTGAAAAAGTTTTTCCTAATGTCCAACCTAAACCCCATTTCTGAGGGACTGTGCTCAGTATCTGCTCTGCACCAAAGGACCAGACGGGGAGGGCTCCTTTCTGCCAGTAGCACAGCAGCACAGGGAGGAGGTCGTGCTAGAGACCGCCCTTGGCCAACACACCTTGTGCTCGGCACAACTCTCCCAGAGCAAGGCACAGCGTGGCCTCGTGCACAGAGCGCTGCGTGGAGAGGGGTTGCCAATGGCATCCTGGCTTATATCAGGAATAGTGTGGCCAGCAGGAGTAGGGAAGTGATCGTGCCCCTGTACTCAGTGCTGGTGAGGCCGCACCTTGAATACTGTGTTCAGTTTTGGGCCCCTCACTACAAGAAAGACATTGCCTTGCTGGAACATGTCCAGAGGAGAGCAACATAGATGGGGAGGGGTCTGGAGCCCCAGGCTGCTGGGGAGCGGCTGGGGGAGCTGGGGGGGTTCAGCCTGGAGCAGAGGAGGCTGAGGGGAGCCCTCATCGCTCCCTACAACTGCCTGAGAGGAGGGGAGGCGGTGCTGAGGGCCAGGGTTTGGGGGTGGGATGGCAGGGGTAGGGGAACGGTTGGACATGATGATCTTAAAGGTCTTTTCCAACCTAGACAATTCTATGATTCCATGATTCTGCTCCCTGTGTCACCACTGCCCCTGCTCTGCAGCGATGCCCTTGGGCTGTGCAGGTCGCACGCTGCATCGTGCTCATGATGGGGCACAGAGGAGAAAACGGCCTCCGTGCTCCCCAGCAGAGCTGCTCCAGCCTGGTAGTGTCACCCCTGGGTACTGTGGCAGGGGACTCTGACTTGGGAATGGCAGGGAGGAGGGAATTTCACCGTCATCCACGCTGGCTTTTCCACCTGCACTCCCTTGATCTGCTCCAAGCCACGGTACTCACGCTGGGGGGCACGGTTCGGTATTGCACGGCCTCTGTCGCTCTGGCATTTTGGTTTCAGGGCTACAGAAATGGTTGAAGACAGTTGAGCCATCAGAAAGTTTCTTGCATACCACAGACTGGATCTGGCTGCCTGCCAACAAAAAGAGGCAAAGGGGAAAGAGAGGAGGACCCTGAGGCTAGCGCTGAGCCGGGCTGCAGGGACGAGCCCCGTAGCTCTGCTCCCGCGTGGGTGACGGGATGGGGCAGCCGCTTGTCACCGCACCTCCTCAAGCCTGAACCTACGTCTCTATTCATAACCAAGGCCTCCTTTGCCTCCAACACCTCCAGATCCACCCAGCAGAGTTTGCAGAGGATGGAGGATCAAATTGTTCCCTGAGAGCTCTCCTCCTCAAATAAACCCGTTCTAACCTGGGCCTGGTGAGCACTGGGGGGAATAGCTGGAACAAGATGGGGCAACACTTGGTTCATGCCTAGTGTGCAAGACCAGGTCAGCACGCTTAGCTTTAAACAGGGAACATGATTAACCCTTGCTTTTGAAACTGCTTCTCTCTTCTTCTGACTACCAGCTCAGTCACCCACAGTCAGGTTCTCCAGAGCCAGGAGACATGGCTCAAACCTTTGTGCCAACCTCCACGGGAACCAGCCCGAGGGATTCAGGGAAGCATCAGCGGTGTTTCAGTTCACAGGCCTGCAGATCTGAAGGCCCCAGGGGTTGTTGCAATCGGCTAACCTGTCCTGCACAGCACAAGGAAATGAATTTCAAGCGTATCACGCCACCTTCTATCACCTCTACCACCTATACCATGGGCCAGCCAGAGACTGGCATCCAGGTCGTTTGCCCTGGCACTCTGCCCACAAGATCATGCTGACTGACACCAGCTCGCATGTAGCTGGCGTGCAGAGTGGGAATTCATAGAAACCCAAGAACTCTTTTAGAGCAAAGCAGATGCTAATGTCCGTGTGCGGTCTCACGGGGCCCAGACACGGCGTGTGGGGGTCACAGGAGTGCAGACACTTCTCCCCCCCAGCCAACATGGGGTCAAAGCTCACCCCCTGCACACAGCGCTGAACATTTGGTCCATGGGGTGTAATGCCAGGAGTACTGGTTGGAGGCATCCCTGCCGATGGGTGCGTTGAACTTGTACCGGATCCCCTGCAGCTCTGTCCGCACAAGGACCTGCAGAGAAAGGCACCGCAGAGGCATCAGTGCCACTGAAGTCCAGCATGGCCATGACTGTCCATATGGCATCCCATGACCTCAGTGCACTCTTTTAACATCCAGGGCAGCTGAAATCTCCCCCCTTCCCTTTCCAGTTCCTTCCAGCATTGACACGGTGACGTTCATCACACCAGTGATGACAGTGGTGCAGCCACCAAGGTGACACAATCAAAGAACAGGGTCCTGTGCATTTACAGATCTAATCGTTCCAAAGCCTGGCAGATGAGGGAGAGGCACCTGAGAATTTAGCCTAATTTACCTCTGATCTCTGTGCCCCTTTTCTCCAGACAGCAAGGACAGAGGCTGATTAGCTCCAACTCCCATGTAGTCATGGCAAGGTCTCTCTAGTCCAGGCCAAGCCCATACCTCGTGGGGGTATGAAGGAACCATGTTACCAACCATGACGAAGAGGGTGACGTTGGTGGGTCCCAAGGCCTCGAGGGACTCAGGCTCCTCTGGTGATCTCCTGTAGTGGAACGTTGTGCCCGCGATGTCAAAGCGCCGCGGGGGGTCGATGGAGAGCTTCCCGTTGATGTAATACTCGCCACTCTCCCCTCTCAGCGCTGTGGGGACAGGGGAGCAAGGGTTAGCAGAAAGGCTGAACGCACCCGTATCCAGCTTCGGCCGGGTGCTTCTCATCTGCCAGGCTTAGAGCACTGCTACAACAGAGGGTAAATACCATCAGCCTCATTTTACAGGGAGGGAATAGGTGGGGCAAATAAAGTAGGTGCCTGGGTCAGGGTCACACAGTCACTATCAGAGGTGGGACTGATGTACCTATAGAATCATAGAATCATTAAGGTTGGAAAAGACCTCCAAGATCACCAAGTCCAACCATCAACCCAACACCACCATGCCTACAAAACCACATCCCGAAGTGCCATCATCTTGTCTCAGCCTGCCCACCACCTCACCATGGAAGGACGATGCTGCAGGGAGCCCAGCTGGCTGCCTGGGGTGGTGATGGGGACACTTGGCAGTGTGATAAGCTGTGGCCATGAAGCCAAGCTCAAATCCAGCTCTGCAAACTGGGTCTTGGCTGCTGGGGCTACTGGAGGAGGCTGGTCCCCAGGACCCTGGCTGTGGTTGCCCAGGCGAGTCACTAGAGGGAGATCGGCTCGCTTGCTGGCTCCTGCTCGCATTCCCACGCTCTCCCTGCTTGCTCTCTGCCACCAACACCGCACTGGTGCCCAGCTCGCTGTCACTCCTGCCCTTGCTGCTGGCAGCGACCTCATTGCCATGATGCTTTAGAGCAGGGAGGAAACTTCATAGCGATGAGAATGGAGGATGCTCGTCCCCTCTCACTGGGGTGCAGGGACAGATCTTGGAGTGGGAGAGACTGGTGGCAGCAGTTGATAGAGACACGAATCACAGAATCATAGAATTGTTTAGGTTGGAAAAGCCCCTTAAGCTCCCCCAGTCCAACCCTTACCCTAACCCTGCCATCCCACCCCCAAACCCTGGCCCTCAGCACCGCCTCTGCCCGGCTGTTAAATCCCCCCAGGGCTGGGGACTCGACCCCTTCCCTGGGCAGCCCCTGCCAGTGCCTGACAGCCCCAAGGGGAAGGAATTGTTCCCCATGCCCAACCTCACCCTGCCCTGGCACACCTTGAGGCCGGTGCCCCGCGTCCCATCGCCCCTTCCCTGGGAGCAGAGCCCGACCCCCCCGGCTGCTCCCTCCTCTCAGGCAGTTGTAGGGAGCGATGAGGGCTCCCCTCAGCTTCCCCTGCTCCAGGCTGAACCCCCCCAGCTCCCCCAGCTGCTCCCCAGCAGTCCTGGGCTCCAGACCCCTCCCCAGCTCCACTGCTCTCCTCTGGACATGTTCCAGCAAGGCAACGTCTTTCTTGTAGTGAGGGGCCCAACACTGAACCTGGCATTCAAGGCACAAGCTGTGCCTTCAGTGCACAGAAATCCAGTTGGATGGACATGAGGAGTCCCCAGTATATCTGGGCCGGGCAGGGAGGGATGCTGGCATCCCCGAACCCAGCAAAGGGAGCCGGCCTGGAGGGATGCTGCCAGGGGAGCCCTGCTGCGACCTCCCACCAGTGCCAGTGTCTGGGCAGGCTCCTGCTCCTGGAGAGCCACTGTGGAGGCACCAGGAAGCAAGCCAGCAGTGGGCACCCCTGCCCACTGCCCTGCGAGCACTCTCCATCGCTTGGGGACAGAAAGAGAAGACAAGGGGAAAGAAAGAAGCCCATTGTAAAAACCAGCCGGAGTCTGGCTGGAAAATTAAGCCCAAGGAAAATCTGAGCAGGTCTATTTTTAATCCCCAGCCCAAATGCTGGCAGAGGGGGGGAATGCCAAGGAGCCACCGACAGAGCCAGGAACGGCGGGGTGTGGGGTTTGCTCAGGGTTACGCTGCTGAACAGGGAGCGCAGGAGGGAGGCAGCACCGCTGGGCCATGCCACCCTGCTGCCTTCCTCTGCCCCAACCCCAGGCTGAGGCCCCCAGCCCCATCCTCTGCTGCGGTGGGGGGTTTTCCATGCTGAGCCTTTACCAGACCCTGTTAACCACAGGGGAACTGCAGACCAAGGGGTGTCTGGCTGGGGTTTCAGTGTCCCCCAGCCCCATCTCACCTAGGTAGTTGATGGAGAGGTTCAGCTCCCGGATGTCAATGTGGACGGAGCCCTTGGGAATCTGGATCACCTCCTCGTAACCTGCGAGACAACCCGGGGACGGTGAGCAGTGATGCTCAGCTTCCGAGCCCGCAGCCAAGCCTGCCCTGAGCTGGATGGGAGCGTGTGCCACCCTGTTACCCATGGGTTAAACACCAAACAAGATGCTGGCAGCGCAGAGATAAACCCACTGCAATTAAATGGAAAAAGCACTATGGCCTGTCAGGACAGCAGCTTGCTTTGCAGTATGAGCTCTTGTGATGGGACTGGTCATGCTAGGGAGGTGCTGTGGGGCTGGGATCTCCATGGGCATCTCCATGGGCATCTCCACGGGCACCTCCACAGCCTGGCTTGAGGGCAGCGTGAGCTGGGGAGCAGGGAAGGAGCTTGGTGCCCTGTGACAGGGCCTTGGGTGCCAGCGGTGGCTGGGTCATGGCTTGGTCAGTGAACAGGAGCGATTTGCCCCCTGCTTGCAGCCTGGTCCTGCCCTTCAGGGTGTTTCCCTGGGATCTGTCCCTGTGCCTGTCCTGCACATCCCCAGGAGCAGATGAAGCTGAGGAGGGACGTGAGGGTGGGTGATGCCGGCTGCGCTGGCCAGGCTGCTCGCTCCCTACCTCCCTCCGGCAGGGACTGGTTGAAGACGCCCTCAACGGTCTCACAGGAGCTGCCGTCTCCCCCACACACGCGACACTTGTCTTCCTTTGAGTCTGAGCCCAGGACACGGTCGCAGCCCACGTGCTGGAGGAAGGAGCAGCAGGGAATTAGCCGTCCTGGTGGGGCTTCGTCCTCCCCACACCTGACCTGCAGCATGCCAGGGAGCGAGGAACTCCCCTGGGCTCCACCTTGTCAACGGTCTCACAGGAGCTGCCGTCTCCCCCACACACGCGACACTTGTCTTCCTTTGAGTCTGAGCCCAGGACACGGTCGCAGCCCACGTGCTGGAGGAAGGAGCAGCAGGGAATTAGCCGTCCTGGTGGGGCTTCGTCCTCCCCACACCTGACCTGCAGCATGCCAGGGAGCGAGGAACTCCCCTGGGCTCCACCTTGCTCCCCACCATTGTGCTGTGCTCGGTAACATCACCTCTGCCCAGCCCCACCTCTCTGCCACCCCTCCCCAGGGACAGCCCTGGGGGGTCTCTCTCCAAGGCT